GATTTTGGTTCTCACTTAACAGTATGACGTTAGGCCTAATTTCCCCCTTTTACACAAGGTCTCCAGGTTCTCTTTAGGATAAAAATCTATAAAATACAAAAAAAATTAATAAACAGTAAGATAAAAAAGCAAAAGTATTTTTTAAAAAGCAATCTGTATCACATTTTTATTCTAACCACTCAATAAAGTAGTTTTGTATAATTTTATAGCCAAAAAAAAAACCTAAGAAAGATGTGTTTACAATTTTTTAAATTCCTATGTAAGTTATGGCATAGCCACACAATAAAATATGATGTCATAGTTCTAAACTATGTTTTTAAGAGTTTTGAAAGACATGGGAAAAGTCTTTAACTGCACAAAAGGAACTCTGATTAAAATGTCTCTACCTGGAATGCAAGCTGGTACAGCCACTCTGGAAAACAGTATGGAGGTTCTTCAAGAAGCTAAAAATAGAGCTACCCTACAACCCAGTAATTGCACTACTAGGAATTTACCCCAGAGATACAGACGTAGTGATCCAAAGGGGCACATGCACTCCAATGTTCATAGCAACAATGTCCACAATAGCCAAACTGTGGAAAGAGCCTAGATGTCCATCAACAAATGAATGGATAAAAGATGTGGTATACACACACACACACACACACACACACAATGGAAGACTACTCAGCCATCAGAAGAGATGAAATCTTATCCTTTATAATGACATGGTTAGAACATGGTTATTATGCTGAGCAAGAAAGACAATTATCATATGGATTCACTCATACGAGGAATATAAGGGTACAGACGATCATAGCAGAAAGGAGTTAAAAATGGAATGGGAAGAAATCAGAGAGGGAGATAAACCATAAGAGACTCTTAACTATAAGAAAGAAACAGGGTTTTGGAGGGTAGGTGGGTGGAGGGATGGGTAATTGGGTGATGGGCATTAAGGAGGGCACCTGATGTGATGAGCACTGGGTGTTACATGCAACTGATGACTTACTGAACTCTACATCTGAAACTAATGATGTTCTGTATGTTGGCTAATTGAAATTAAATAAAAATAAATAAATAAAATGTTTCTACCTGAAACTTTGCTGTGTACATGCACATTCTCAAGACAATTTTCTAACATCTGGCTGCTTCGTTTCCTGCTCCTAATCTTTCTCCAAGTTCTGGGTTACTCAAATTTAACTATCAAAAATACAGTCATTTCTTTTGTGTTTAGGAAGCTTGCCAGCTACCAAAATCCACAGACACCATTAAAAGATAAAAGCCAACAAAACAGCATCTCACGAAGAAACTGTAACCACCACTCCAGGGAGGCATGATGTCGTTTCCCTTTGGAAATTCAAGAAACAAATAAAGAGATGAAATCTGCTTAGGAAAAAAAATCATAAATCGAGACAAGCAACAAAATTATGCTGTTATCAACCATGTGCCACTAAAAACTATTTCATCTGAAAGTGCTGTGCCACTAAATAAGCAAACAAATTATAAAGGAGGAGCAGGTGCAGAATATTGCTTTAATGCAAACTTAGGAAAGAACTATAAAACCAAGTGAAAGAAAGGCAAAAACAAACAATATCAGCTCAGAGCATCAGAGTGCTGACAATAAAAACAAAGTCTACCAAGCTGAATCATTGGTTGCTGCATAGGCTTGTGGAGGACTTTTGCCGCCTTGTATATCTGCAGGTATTTTTCCTTTCAATTACTTTTCTAAACATGAATTTCCTCACACAAAAGATAGCAATAAGCTAATGCTCGAGAAAGATGTAAATACTTGGCCTTCGCATGTTTTCGACATTAATATAGTCTTCCTGGTGATTCCATCTCTATATCCTTTCTCTGTAATAAACTATTGTTTGTCAACATGGTCCACGTTCAGGGCGCTTGGGTGGCTCAGTGCGTCAAGCCTCTACCTTCGGTTCAGGTCATGATCTCAGGGTCCTGGGATCAAGCCCCGCATCGGGCTCCCTGCTCAGCAGGGAGCCTGCTTCCTCCTCTCTCTCTGCCTGCCTCTCTGCCTACTTGTCATCTCTGCCTGTCAAATAAATAAATAAATAAATAAATAAACCACATGGTCTATGTTTAAGAACTGTTTAAGTGAAAGAAATCTTTGGCTCTCAAGAAAGAATTTCACATTACAACAAATTTTTAGAATCACTTCTATAATTATAAACATAATCAATATTCACAGTGTATCTCCAGGATACTCTAAATTTTCTATGCAAACCTGCGTTTTCCCCCACAGAAATATATTAATATTTAAAAATGCCTTACAGCTTAAGTTTAGAGTAATCCATACAGCAGCTAGTAACGTTAAATACACTATTACTCCACCCTTCAAGTTCTTCACTTGATCTTAGCCAAAAGGCCGAGATGTGATCCACCCTTCAAGTTCTTAATATTTTTGGCAAAGACATAGGTTTCTTAGTAACTAACATGAAAATCAATTAGCACCACATAATTGATCACCAGTAAATATACATATACACACACTAGAATGTTTTAAAAATATGAAATTCATAGATACAGCTAACTAAATGGAAGTTCTGAATAGAGAACTAGTGTTGGATAATTTACCACCAAATACTCAGTTTATTTTGAATGTTAAAAACATCTTTCAACTATAACGGTCCCTCATTTGACTGACCTTGAGAGCCAATGTGTATTATATACTTATTATGTGTGCTAACTGTTCTAGAACCTGGGTTAGACAACAGTCCCTATATGTCAAGAAATACGTTATAGATGGGGGAATTGGATGAAGAGATACTCTGTAACTTTTCTCATCTCCAGAAGTAGGACACAGATCCAGGTTGTTCTGAGTACAGGGCACATGATAACTTTATGCTGTGTTCATTCTAACAGCAACACCTGGAAATTTGAGGAAGATTAGTATTGAAATCGATACCCCCTCAGAACATTTTGAAAATCTAGTCTCAAAATGAATGCTTAATAAGAATTTTTCTCAAAAGGAACTGGTTGGCCTTATTTCTAACCCACCCAAAGAAAACGATCATAATGGTAACTTCACACCACTGATAATTATAAGCTCCAGAGACACAAGATTTGCCACGCAGGTCCTGTCCTATACCTGAACTCTGAGATAGCCATTAGGTTGCAGAATCAGTTACGGAGGAAATGTAACTTGACAGTGAAGGATCAGGCTAATGCCAACTTAACCCAGTGCTCAAGCTTCGCCCCATCAGTGGGAAGACCCCAAGACACATCACCTGTGATAAGTCCTGGCCAAAATACCTGCTTTGATCTAATCAGACATTTGGATCTAGCCTCAAATGTCAGGAATTAAAAGAGCCAGAGGAGTAAACTAAATGACACCAGTAGGAAGAAATGAGACAAATCCAGGAGGAAAGGACATCCTCAAGAACAAATGTCTCTCTCTTCCACAAGTCAGTGTCATGAATAACAAGAGGCTGTTCTAGATTCAAAAGAGACTTCAGGTACACAACATCCAGATGCACTGCATGATCCTGGACTAAATTCTGCTTAAGACAGTCCATCTGCCAAGGACTGTGGGGGCCACTACAGGAAACTCATTGTGTTGGGGTATTAGAAAATGTTAAGAATGATCACCAATGGGACGCCTCGGTGGCTCATTCAATTAAGCATCTGATTTCTGCACAGGTCATGATCTCGAGGTCGTGATATCCAGCTCCAAGTAGGACTCCACACTGGGTGTGACATCTGTTTAAGATTCTCTTTCTCTCCCACTGCCCCTCCCCCACCACTTGCACATACACACACACACACACTAACTCTCTCTCTAAAAAAAGTGGTAATTACCAATGATATTAGTTGTGATAATGTTAATTTGGCCATGTAGCACCATGTTCTTATTTTTAAGAGACACATACTGAAGTATTTAGAGATAGAATGTTAAAATGTCAATATTTTACTTCAAATTGCTTCATTATAAATACAGAGTTTTGAAAGAGGGGGCAGTTGCAAAAACAATCACAAAACAAATAAGTATAAAATGGTGTAAGTTTCAAAAATCATGCTTCAGTGTCAAGGATTATGCTTAATTAAAAAGAAAGTGATACGTGAACAGTAAGCTTTGATCTAAAGAGGCCGCCCCATCACCACCACCTGCAAAAAGCTAAAGGAAGAAATTTACAAATTTAAAGTAAAATATCAACTTCGAAAAGATCCCCTAATTTTATCTTGTTTTTTTAAGATTTATGTATCTATTTTACAGAGAGAGTGTGGGGCCAGAGGGGGGAGGGGCAGAGAGGCAATCTCAAGCAGACTCCACGCTTAGTACAAGGCCCACGGAGGGGCTTCATCTCACGACCCTGAGATCATGACCTGAGCCAAAATCAGGAGTTAGACACTCAACCAACTGAGCCAGCCAGGCACTCCAATCTCCTAATATGATTTTAGAGAAACTTTTAGGTGTGTTATACCAATATTCAGAATCACTAAAGAAAGGGATTAAAAACCAAAATTACAGCATACTATTCCAGAATAGGACTTAGGACAACATGAAATGTTCATTTTCATACCGCTGTTTTTATTACACATGCTTCATTTCCACATCCTACGTGGGAATTATTTCCTTTGCACATTAATAAACATCTTCTCTTCTAAGCACATACCTAACAAATCAGAAAGCAAAGTCAAAAGTTGAGATAATACTTGGAGACAGAAGGTGAACTTCAGTTAAACCCTAACAGCAGATGACTTCAGTAAGTCTTTGCTACCGACAGTGCTGGTGATTACCTGGGAATAATATAAATGCAAATAATGAAAAGAAGTAAAAGGGTGACATTCTCAGAGATATAAAAGCAATTGAATTCAGATACAAACAGGCTAGACCTATAGGTACACATAAATTCTCTTCAGGGAGCCTGCAACCTAGCGCAAAGATCGCAAGGTGGCTTTTTCTATTGTTTGAGGAACTGTACAATTTAAACACACAGCCACCTGCCTCTGGGTGTGGGAAGAAGAGATTCCAAAATTTAAACGAAGTAAGAATAAAAACAAACCTCAGGCCCAGCTGCCTGCAGATCACCTCTGCGTCTGCTTCATCCCACTGGTCATCACAGACAGTCCCCCAATGACCAGCATGGTAGATTTCCACTCGGCCTTCCCGCGCGCTGCTCCCACCCACGAGGCGTATGGCGGGGAATGTCGGGCCTGTGCCGGGTGAAATTAGAAAAAATTACACCTACACATTTGCACTGAATGATGAGATTAGATATATTCTATTTGTTTGCCATTCTCAATAATTAAGTCATATTTATTAAACCACCTCAGGGATTTGCACATACACACACACACACGTCTAGTATGTATTACAGTATTCTTGACCAATTAAAATACTCCAAATTGGGGGTGCCTGGCTGGCTCAGTCAGTAGAGTGTGCAACTCTTGATCTCCGGGTTGTGAGTAGTCAGAGCCTTACGTTGGGGGTAGAGTTTACTTAATAATAAAAAAAAAGTGTTCAATAAAAAATATTTCAAAAAATACTCCAAACTGAATTACATCCATACAAATAGCTCCTAAGAGGAAGTAGTCCAAATTCAATTTTCCTCCCAACAACCTCAGAAGCCAGAAAAGACACACTCAAAACTATAGTTTATTGGAAACGCATTTGATTTTTATGGTATTATAGTGGGGACACTAATTTTTTTATGCACAGTAACTTGAGTATTACCAACATGTAATCCTTAAAAACGGCACTTATGTCTGTAACATCCTTGTCTTCGGTAGAGAAATATTTTTGTATTCGTAGAAACCAAGTTAACATCTAACTCATTATAACAAGGTAGTGAACATCATGGACAATACCTACAAAAAACAAGATTGGAGAATTCACTTGGGTATGAATCGGCTCATATTCATTTTCTAAGAACTACCAAAGGCTTCCTGTTGCAAACTCCTTATTACGGTCCACAGTGCCCTGAGCTAGCCCTTGTTAGTGTCCTGAACATCCCTCTCTACACCTGGCCTCCTTCACTGGGCTATACCTATGACCCCTCTTCCTTCTGTCCCTTAAACAGTCAAGGCTGTTTCCCACCATAGGGTTTGTACGCTTCCGGTTCCTTCTACTTGAAAAGTGTTCCCACAGATACTCCCCTGGCTTCATCACTCTCATCATTCAGTTCTCAACCCTGAATTGCCCTTTGTTTAAGAGGACTCCCCTCTTAAGTTGGTCTTCCTAACCAACACAGCACACAAAGTTACTTTCTACTACATTGTCTTCCAAATATTTATTTTATCTAAGACTGTCATTGATTCATTGATTTCCACGTTGTCTACCTCCTAACAGCTAGAACTCAGGACAGAGACCGTGCCTTTCTCTTTCACCTGTGTATCTTAGGTACCCAGCATACAGAAGGCATGTAATAGATATTTGTTGACTGACTGGACTGATAAGTGACAGCCAGAAGCCTAGAAAGAATATTCCAAACAAGAAAAAATACTTAGCAATATTCATTCACTCAATTCTGTTTAATAGATACTAGGCACCACAGGGGCATTTTTTTTTTTTTTAAGATTTTTTATTTGTTTGACAGAGAGAGATCACAAGTAGGCAGAGAGGCAGGCAGAGAAAGAGAGAGAGAGGGAGGAGGAAGCAGGCTCCCTGCCCAGCAGAGAGCCCGATGCAGGACTCGATCCCAGGACCCTGAGATCATGACCCAAGCTGAAGGCAGAGGCTTAACCCACTGAGCCACCCAGGCAGCCCCATAGGGGCATTTAAAAGAGCACTAGACAGACCCTATCATCAGGAGGTTTGCCACCTAAGGACCTGGTCAAAATGAGCACAGAGAAGATCATCAAGACCCTGCGGGGGCTCAGAAGCAAGGGAGCTTGCTTACCATTGGAGGTAGCCTGGAATCCCTTCTGAAGGAGCTGGTATCTGAAGAGGGCCAAAGTGGATGGATGGGATTTCAGAAGTCAGAGATAGGGTAAGTGCAGTTCAGCAAAATGAACAGTATGAGCAAATGTACAGAAGCACAAAGTTGAATGTGTTTGGGAAATAGCAAGACAGTGTAATTTTTCTGGAATAAAGGATGTAATAGGGTAAAAGTTTCAGAACAGGCTGGGCCCCTATTCAGAAATTTAATTGCAGCTTTTGCCAAATACTAACCATTTATCCACATGAAATACACTTCTAATTCCCCCACAGTGTAAGAAGTTGTCAGTAAATGATATTGGGATATTTATATTTATATTCAAACATCATACCTGAATTTTGAATCAGAAATTCAGGTTAGTGAATATTAACATACACTCATATTCTGATCTTCATAATTTAGCTTATTTACATAAGTCAACTAATATTTACAATTTGTAAAAAGGATAAAGATAGTTTTAATAAACATAAGTGTTCTCAGCATTATATATTAGCTTCTTATAATTAACTGATGCTGAGTGGTCTAAAAACATATTTGCATGTTATGTTTATTTTTCCTTTAAAAAGCTTGGAAAATATAGAAAGAAACAATGGGAAAATGTATTCGTTTCTTAAATTATTATATTCTCCCCTGCCTCTCTTCCCCCTCCCACTATGGTAAGATTGGAGAAAACAGAAAAAAAAAATTTTTTTAAGACTTTATTTATTTGACACATGGAGAGAGAGAGAGAGCACAAGCAGTGGGAGCTGCAGAGGGAGAAGGAGAAGCAGGCTCCCACTTAGCAGGGAGCTCAATCCCAAGGATCATGACCTGAGCCAAAGGCAGACACTTTCTTTTTTAAAGATTTTATTTATTTTTTTGACAGAGAGAGATCACAAGTAGGCAGAGAGGCAGGCGGGGGCGGGGCGGGGGAGCAGGCTCCCCACTGAGCAGAGAGCCTGATGTGGGGCTCAATCCCAGGACCCTGGGATCATGACCTGAGCTGAAGGCAGAGGCTTTAACCCACTGAGCCACCCAGGCGCCCCCCAAAGGCAGATATTTAACCAACTCAACCACTCACATGCCCTGGAAAACAAAAATTTTTAAGAGGAAATTTAAAATCACCTACAACCCAGAACTGTATGGCCTACTACCTTATATTTTTTAGTGTCATGTTTTATTTTAAAACATGTGGGCTTTTTCTAGCTGTATAAGTAATTGTGAAAATACAGAAAATTTCAAAGACAAAATTTCATCAACATCCCACATCTTCCCAACAAGCACACAAAAAATCATTTGAAAGAGCATTTGGTGAGGTAGTTGACTCATGGCTAACTTATGGATAAATAAAACTCCCAGACATGTTCATTTAAATTACTATTTCCTATATCTAGTACTGCTACACAATTTCCTACTTTGTAAGTGTTGGAAAAACAACAAGTACTAAATGACAGGGCACTAAATGTAATTTCCAAACTAAAAAAATGTATTAAAGGTCTATTACTATGCCTTAAAGTAGACTCAGTGTTTGCTGATCTAAGCTGTTTCCTTTCACTTTCTCACTTGGTCTTTTTTCTCCCTCCCTTTTATTTCACCTCAACCTCTCACATTTTCATATATGCTTATGAATGACCTTAAATTTATCTTCACAACTGGAGTATAAACAGGTGAATAGATGATGAGAGCAAAAGGAATTTTTTAAGTGGAAAGATAATCCTGAAAGAAAAATAATTATTGTTTTCAAGATTTTATTTACTTCAGTACTTGAAAAATGTCAAACATTTTACCCAACAGGTGGAGCATGAGTACAAGCAATAATCTACAAAAAGTAATGCACTGTTGAACCCAAATCCCATCATCCTTGAAGCAGCAATGCATAAACATCTACCTCCCAAAGTAGCATTACCCGAAAGTGGGAATCAAAGGAAGAAGAGGAAAAATTTCCAAAACATCAAGATTTAACATGCATTCGGCCCACTCAAAAAAGAACAATGGTTCTCAAAGCCCATACCTGCACCCTATCTTCCAGTTGGTTCTTCCAGCCAATTCACAGCAATTACTCTAAATTGAGGCTCTGTGTGTTTTGTGGTGAGAGAGTTTCCATTCCTCTCCTGATTCTTTTTTTTTTTAAAGATTTTATTTATTTATTTGACAGACAGAGATCACAAGTAGGCAGAGAGGCAGGCAGAGAGAGAGGGGGAAGCAGGCTCCCTGCCGAGCAGAGAGCCTGATGCAGGAGCCCAGGATCACCATCTGAGCCGAAGGCAGAGGCTTTACCCACTGAGCCACCCAGGCGCCCCATCCTCTCCTGATTCTTGCACTCCAGTAGAAACCAATGCCCTGGGCTGGCTGCTAGCTTTTTAAGACCTGGAATATCTGACCACACTGCCATCTCCAAGGAGAATGCAAAAAGGGATACTGTGACAGGGTGCTAGTTTCAGGTTCTGGTCACACATTAAAATACACCATGCTTTCCAGAAAACCCATCAGCCATCATGAAAAGCAGCTGTTCCCTCTGCCACATATGTTCATATGACCGTATGCATATATGTGTACTAAACCATGTTCATCATCTCATGGTTAGCATATAGTGCTCGGAAGGAGCCTTTATCTGAGGCAGTTATCCATATTATGGAATGTGCTATTGACAACTCAAAGGAGAACACTGGTACCACGGTTATAATCTATCCTATAAAGTGAAAATATTTTGTTGTAGTTGCTGGGTTCCAAGACGATTTTCCATCTTGATTCTATCATGACCTTCCATTAGCAAAATAAACGTTTCATGTACAATATGCAATATTTCTGTAAGCAAATTAGATAAAATAGAAAACACGTTGAGTGAGATATCATTTGAAAGTCAAAAGGAATTCAGAATGTTATACGCACTCTTATTGAAGACTATTTGACTATGTAATACGATGATTCAGGCTTATATCTATATTTAAACTCTTTGAGGAAATGATTTAACGAAGACAATTTTATCATCTGGAATCTTGCTGAAAACACAATGAAAGTAAAAGAGAGTTTTTTACCCTGGGAAAAGCTACACGTGACAGCAGCTGCCATCTTCTGAGGACACGCCCCACCCTGCCAGATGTCTTTTTCACAAAGCAGTATATTTTCTTCATCTCCTCGGCAACGGACATTGCTCCAATAAATGGGAATAAGGCCCAGTCCAGAAAATGGGGTTTGTTTTGCGACTCCTTTTCGCCTGGAAACACAATGATCGAGGTTAGGTTTATCGAACATAGGTGAAATTTTTTGTGAAAGTATTTAGATTTTTTTTAAGTGGAAGAAATCAATAAAGATAGATGTAGGGGGAAAAAAAAGATAGATGTGGGAGAAAAAAAAACACAATGGATTACATAAATTTCAAGGAAATCAAAACGTCAGATCAGAACTTGAACTGATTACCTACGGCAATCTTTTTAATCGTCTTAAATAACAGTATGCATGTGCCTTTCCTACCTACAGCTGATTTTAGGGGAAAATACATATATGTGGGCAAATACTACAGATTTAAAAAAGAAGCCTGGTGGTTTTGTGGAAGAAGTGTGTCATGTGGCTCAGTGAGACATGGATTCTAGTCTGGACTCGGCTGCAAATTGCTCTAAGCTGTGAGTTTCTATAAGCTCTGCCTTCTGATGTCTAAAAAGAGGGCTGGTCTGGATGCGTGACAGTTTTCCTACTCCAACATTTTAGGCTAGCATTTTCTTTCTTTTCTTTCTTTCTTTCTTTTTTTTTTTCTTTTTTAAAGATTTTAGTTATTTATTTGAGAGAGAGGGGGAGAGAGAGCAAAGCAGGGGGCGGGGCAGAGGGAGAAGCAGACTTCCCAAGAACAGGGAGCATGACTCAGGGCTCAATCTCCAGACCCTGAGATCATGACCTGAGTCGGAGTTCAAGAGTCAGGCACTTAACTGACTGAGCTGCCCAGGCGCCCCTAGGCTAGCGTTTTCAAAATGATTACTACTACACATAAGTAAGATAATCACAGGAGAGGCAATCCATTCACAAAATTTTTAAAACCTTATATATAGTATTTACTTGCAAGACTTTGCAATCAATTAATGAAATGGTAACATGCAGATGGGCTCTGCTTTTAGCTTCTCTAATCTACATATTTTATAAGTAATCTCTGATACTTATGAATTGATATTAAATTTTTAAAAGATAAAGGCTTATCTAATTAACATAGTAATCTCTAGAATTATTTCCATACAGTAGCTTCTACCATTTCCATACAGTAGCTTCTACCGTCAACCAAACAGTAAACATTTCAGGTATATCAAAATATGAACATGTCTTAACAACAATAATTCTGAGTTGTTCTGATCTAATTATATTTTTTTAATGGACTACTAAAAAATAAAAAATAAATAAAAATGGACTACTAAGGGGTGCCTGGCTGGCTCAGTCAGAGAGCATGGGACTCTTGATCTCTGGATCAGGAGTTTGAGACCCACATTGGGTGTAGAGATTACTTAAAAAAAAAAAAAAAGGAACAACTAAGAGATGATATAAGTAATCAGATCAGTGTATCTGAAGTTTCTGTTTGCAGAATGATAGTTTATATTTCTTCATCAACCAAAAGACTAGTAACCATAAAGCAGTTCACATCTCCACTATAGTGTGTTGGTTTTTTATGTCACTCCTACAGGAAATCATATTGTTCCCTGATTTTCAGGGTTAATAAAAGCACATATAAGTGTGTATTTTAAGGAAGACACTGACACCAGTCTACAAATCTGTTACATATTGAGGCCCTCAAAAGAAAAAGCATCAAGTCAACATGCTCTGTGTCCTGTCCATCTGCCAACCACTATTTGCCAGACAAAATCTTCATCAATCAAATCAATAATTAACATTCCCAAACACCTATCGGCTGTATAGCCTTATTCCTTCTTTCATCCTGACTTATACCAACACCCATTTTTAAAAATTGTTAATTAATTAAGTACATTAAGCCTACTTGCTGCTCTAACAGCATCAAAATCTGAACAAAACTAAAGCCTTCAGAAGGGTTTGTCTTTATTAAATACTCACTGCCCATCTTCCTAACGGGAAGACAGGAGGAAGTGGACAAATTAAAATTCTTACTGACCTGACTGCAGTTGATCGTTTCTATCCTCCTATTAAATATTACCGCTCACTGATTATTAATCCAAAATACTTGTAAACTGCAAAACTTTTTTCAGTCTTTTGGACTTGCCTGTTCACGACAAGATAGTTTCCATACTTTCTAAAGATCTCTAGTGAGAAAGGCCAAGAAAAACATCTGGCAAGTGTATATACAAAAAAAAATAAAATAAAATAAATGAGATACAAAAACAGAATAAGAACCACAAAACAAAACCTTTCATTCCAAAATGGAGCCTTCCGCTCCAGAGGAAGCCCCCTGGCACGCGGCGCAAAGGTGCCCGGGCTGGTGGCAGGCAGTGAGCACCGACGGTGTACAGAGAGCGCTGAGAGCCGAGGAGAAGCAACGGGCCGCTGCGGGCACCGCTGGCGCTGACAGAGGCCGCCCCCTCCTGCAGGACGTCCTGGGCACAGAAACCCTAGGCCTGGACACCACACCCTTCCCACCTCAGGAGAAGAGCGCAGGTGGACTTCCGCCTCCTTCCCGCACAAAAAGATGGAAGCTGGGGCGCCTGGGTGGCTCAGTGGGTTAAGCCTCTGCCTTGGGCTCAGGTCATGATCCTGGGGTCCTAGGATCGAGCCCCGCATTGGGCTCTCTGCTCCGCGGGGAGCCTGCTTCCCCCTCTTTCTCTCTGCCTGCCTCTCTGCCTACTTGTGATTTCTCTCAAATAAATAAATAAAATCTTAAAAAAAAAAAAAAAAGATGGAAGCTGTGGACGGCTACAAGTAGCCAGTGAAATGCAGATGATGCTACTGGGAAATGACAATCCTCAGAATCATGTTCCTGGCTTCCCAGGGCTAAGGGATGATTTTTAAATACATAGACCAAAGGATGCTTTTAACATCTGACCACTCAGCATTTGCTTATTTCCCAGTTAGTATTCCTTCCCCCGTAGGGCCCTTTCTTTATAACTCTAAGGAAAAGTGACAATGAGGGAAATGAGACCAAAGGAAGGAAAACATGCATCATCTTTCCATGGCAGTGATGGGTGCCCTCCATTACTCTCCCACATCAGCATCTTGATGTGGGCAAGGCTGCGAGAACTCACCCCAGCTGCAGCTGGTGACAAATGACGGAGGCATCAGAATCATCCCAGTGGCTGCCACAGACTGTGCCCCAAGCTCCATTTGCATATATTTCCACGGTGCCTTCAAACTCATGTTTGCCACCTCGAAGCCGCACTGACCCTGAAGTAGAAAAGAATCCCAAAACCCTTTAAGAGCAAATAAACATTTGAACATACTGAGCCTGTCCTCAGTTAACATTTTCCACATAAGCGGATCCAGCCAGAACAATTTGGCCTCCATGTTCACAGCCCTGGTTCTTTGTTTAAATGAGGATTTCACAGATTCGATTCAATTTTATTTTATTTTATGTTTTTGGTAGTTAACATCATAGTGTTAATAGTAATTATGCTTTCTTTTTTAGTTAAGCAAACAGAAAGTCCAATTATATTTTAAAAAGAGAAAAGTGGAAGATTATGACTAATGTCTGATATTACATCCCAAATATTAGATGACATCACATATAAAATTCTTATCATGTATGTATCACCTTCCACTTCACCTGAGGTCAGAGATAAGAAGCACAGAAATGAAATTCAGTGCTCTACTTATAAATTAGCTGTTACTGTGTTATATATTCCTTCCATCTGATTTATTCACCACAAAAGAGCAAAATGCTTTTTCCCTTTTTAACCTGAAGCAGTAGTCATGAAATTCTAAATATTATGCCTATAATTTCAAAAAAGTGTTGGTGTTGATGACATTGCCTAATATCAGTCTTAGGAAAATTCCCACCAGGCAGAATCGTTTGGTTTAATTGAGTGTCCCTGGAAATTCCCCTCCCCTTACGTATTATCCTCACTTAGCTGCTCCAGAGTCCATGATTTGAGTCATTCAGTCTTGAAAAGAGTCAAGAGTAAAATGCAAGTACCCCAGTAAAAATTACATCCCTTAAGTGCAGACAGATTGAGGCGCTACATTTCCCTTCTTATTAGCTCTGGTTTGCGGAGTGGCTATTGGGAGACCACAAGTGGGACCCTTAAGCTGAGACCGAAGCAAACTCGGACAGCTGAAGAATTTCACAAAACTCTGTTTAAAGCCACTTATGATGACCTTCATTTCATAGGTAAAGAAATTAAGAAAGTAAGTTCTACCAAAAAATTCCATCAAATTTTGCATATTTCAAACTTATTTCAAAGTATGGCTTTAAAATAATTTTCCAAAATATTAGATTCACAAATTACCCATTCATTTCACTTGCACTGGCCTAGGCACCCATTATTTTCCAAGCCATCATCGTTTAAAAATGTAACTATTTAAGAAACACATATTGTTTGTCTCAAGACAAGTACAAAGTGTCATTTAATTCAAAGAAAAGAATAATAAATGGAGGCAAAACATTACACTGCCAAATCCTGATTATTCAGGAGAGAGCATGGACATGGATCACTCACATGGCAGAGAAATCTCGAAGTCATCATTCATACTTTCCAAACCTCTTCAATTCAGACTAAGCAAGAGGAAGCCCTGTTTAGCTAAAGGAAAAGCATGAACTGCAAAAAAAAATTTTTAAGATTTTATTTATCTATTTTACAGAGAGAGAAAGCACACAAGCAGGGGGAGCAGTAGAGGGAGAGGGAGAAATAGGCTCTCCCCTGAGCAAAGCCTGACATGGGGCTTCATCCCAGGACCCTGGGATCTGAGCCAAACGCAGAAGCCCAACTGACTGAGCCACCCAAGCACCCCTGCAAAACATTTTTTTTTTAAGATTTTATTTATCTATTTGACAGAGAGAGAGAGAGAGATCACAAGTCAGCAGAGTGGCAGGCAGAGGGAGAGAGAGAGAAGCAGGCTCTCTGCTAAACAGGGAGTCCGATGCAGGTCTCCATCCCAGGACCCTGGAATCAGGACTGGCCCGAAGACAGCCGCTTAACCAATGAGCCGCCCACGCGCCCCACCTGCAAAACATTTTTAAAGAAACAGGTCTGAAGAGTTTAACTGAACTTTAATGACTTTTTTAACCACAAAATCTCCTCTATAGAGACCTACATAATATCCTGCATATCGCAAATACCAGAATTTTATTTCAACTCAAAAAATTCATTAGCTCACCTCAAACAATCATTACTTGAAATGATATTTAAATTAATCTATTATCTCTTTATTAACCCCCTTCTCCAAATTACTCATGTCAAGGGTTGGAAGAAAGTTCTGGTAATGAAAACAAACTGGAACGCTACTTACGCATGTTTAAAAAAAATCATAATAAAATGTAAAATACTGCCTACATCACCAAAAAGCTATCAAGAAGAAATGATGTGTGCATATAATTTAAATGATAAAGGCATTTGGAGATAAGACTCAGAAACTCTGCATGAAGTATAATTACTACCCGTGCATCATGATAATGGCAAAGACAGAGCTGGAAATAGCTTCCAGGTGAACTATCACTTCCACCATCTTTTCTCAGATTCTCCAAACATGCTATGAAAGCCTGGATTCATTTAGCTGTATCTGCTATATGGCAAGAAATGTGGAGTGCTCATCCAATTTTCCTTTAACAAATGAATACAAATATTTACAATTCTGGAAAGTCAATTTGCAAGTCAATGACTAATGAATTCTCTGTCAGAATCCATTCCCATCACCAACTTCCCCAGCTCCCACACCCTCCTCGTTTATCTCCACCCTCACCCAGTTTATCCTTCTCCTAAGGTCATAAAAATTTCTAACATATCTGACAAATTATCTACTTTGGACTCAGGTTGAGTAGTTCTTAATGGAAGATAATTCCACATAGTGCATAATTCTTCAAATAATTATTTGAAAGAGCACTTTAAAAAATATCAGAACATGCTCCAAAATAATAAAAGTTTGAATGTACAATTTAGATTACATTTAAGATAAGTAGCAGTTTTAATTTGTTTTTGGTTTTACTTTGCTTTAGTTACGTTTATTTTCTTAGAATGGCCAAGATGGTCAAAATCTCAAGAACTGTAACTCATTTTTCTCAATTTATGGATGAAGAAGATTTGGACCAAATCAACTGCCATGACTACCTGTTTCTGAGTTTCCCACTCTTCCTACTGTTCCTCTGTCTCCTAGTTATCTCTAGTTATCTCTAGATAACTAGGTAACTCTAGTTATCTCCTAGAGTCCTGTCCTTGCTACCCTCCCATCTCTGAACCCTAGCAAAGACCAGGCAATGTCTTTTTCATGTCTAGGCATTCATGTTCTTTGCATAATGTACTTTATGCATTATGTCATGTGGCTTTCACCATTCTATGTGAAATATTCTGTCTGAAATATTGCAACTAATCTATCAAACATTTTATGGGAAGAAATAGCCAGAGAGGAAGGTAAGACAAGACAGCTTGAAGAGGTTTTAACCTCTTCATTGCAAACAGGAGAGAACGGACTACTTTCCAGTGATCTACATTTGAGTCTGACCCCTCAACGGAGGAGTCCCACAGGCTGTATAAATTTGTAGAAACACCATACATTCGCACAAATTTAGAGGTACACAATTACAAAGTGAACGGAGGGAAATATCCTTAACTCAACTAAAAAAAAAAACAAAAAACAGTGAAACAATGAAGCACTCACTCCACAAAGGTCAAAGCCCGGTAAACTCACTTACATTGCTAAAGTAATATAAAGCTCTTTTATTATTAAAAATTGATCCCTCTTCCTTCCCTCACACTCCTACTCCAGAGAAGCACTTTGCAATGCTCCTCACAGTGTCAGCTAATGTCTCTGGAACACATGGGCTGCCCTGGCTTAAAAAGTTTCTCAAGTGCCAGTCTGATGGAAATTATTCTATTCTAAATGTTTCTATTTTTAAAATGTGTTAATAATAAAACTTTAAAATTTGAGGTTCTCAAATAGAGGTTTCAGGACAACTAAAACAGGCATTACAATATTACAAAACAAAACTTTCCAGAAGAATGTCTGGAACTGTAAAGCTATGCGTGATATCATGTCATGGAGAGGACTGCCCAGAGTTCTTGAAAGAGATTGTCGCCCACCGCCCCCACAAACACCAAAAAAGTCAACTGTCTGTTGGTTAATTACAATTACCTAAAAGCAAAAATGTGTCAATGCGCAATAATGCTCAGAGTTCTACCACCTTAATTCCCTGCCCAAACTGTTGAATTTATTGTCATTTTAGTTTACTATTTTCTTCTTTGTAGTTATAACTCTAGTTTTATAAAAGAAAGGGAACATAAAAGATGTATGTTACTCGGGTGCCTGGGTGGCTCAGTGGGTTAAAGCCTCTGCCTTCAGCTCAGGTCATGATCCCAGGGTCCTGGGATCAAGCCCCGAATCGAATCGGGCTCTCTGCTCAGCGGGGAACCTGCTTCCCCCTGTCTCTGCCTGCCTGTCTGCCTACTTGTGATCTCTGTCAAATAAATAAATAAAGTATTAAAAAAAAAAATGTATGTTACTCAAATTAACTTTAAGGGCAATTTTGCTAAAAAACAGGAATTCCCTGTTGCCTAGTTGGCTCCATCAGCACAGCATGTGACTCTTGATCTCAGGGTCATGAGTATGAATCCCATGTGTGGCGGATGGTTTACTTAAAATTTAAAAAATTAAAGAAACAAAAACAAAAAACAGGAATTCCCAAAATGAAAAGACATTAAAAAAGGACTCCCTTTAACCATTTTATCAGTCTCAGTGGAGACAAAGAAATCGTCCAGAAAATAGCTGACTAGATTAAAATTCCTTTCATAAGTCTCATTAGTTTATCAGTTTGTAAGCCTATTACGATGTGAATTCTATTCCTCCTCCCACCAAAATGTTGAAGTGCTAACCCCCACTACCTATACATCTGACCTTATTTGGAAACAAGGTCTTTGCAGATGACCAAGTTAACATGAAGTCATTAGGGTGGGCTCTAATCCAGTATGACTTTGTTCCTATAAAAAGGAGAAATTTAGCTGCAGAGACCCACAAAGGGAGAACACCATCTGAGTATCAGGGTTTCATCCCACAAGCCTTGGAATTATCAGAAGCTAAGAGATCCCATGGACAGATCTTTCCCTGATGTCTTCAGAGGAAGGGCTGCCCTGCTGACACCTTGACCATGGACTTTCAGCCTCCAGAACTGTGAACCTGTATGTTTCTGTTGTTTAAACGGCTCAGTTGTAGCACTTGTTCCAGCAGCCCTAGAAAACTCA